CACCGACGACGAGGAATCTGACGACTCGCAGGTTGGCCATTGCTCATTTGCTGGTCAAGGTAAGAAATTATCGCTGTGAGATTCAGATACCCGAACTTAATCCTATACTACATAGGAGATGCAGGTTTTGTAGCCCAGGCGGGGGGAGCAGAGGGGCCGCTCCCTCTGAAAAGGATGATTAGGGGTCGAAGCCCACAAATTACTCTACATGTGCTTCGCATTAACTAAATCACTTTCAAGTTTTATTCGATCTCTTTTGCCCTGCAACAAACCTGACACTCGTGCTCTCGCCCGCTTTCGGGGCCGATATCGTAGCTGTGTTTCACGTGCGACGGCAATGAGAGCGAAATTCGGTCGAAACGCGTCGTTTACAAATTTACCCGAATTCCATCACGTACTATTTACAAACAGCGATTCGACTTGTAACTGTAAAAAGACACCGACACACACAGCAACGCGTGCATACACACACGCACGCACGCACACACGCTGGCGCATGCACATCCAAACGTGTGCGCTAAACACATGCGCATACACATACATACATACAAGCGTGTACATATACATACACACACATACATACATACATACAAGCGTGTACATATACATACACACACATACATACATACATACAAGCGCATACACACATACATACATACAAACGTGTACATATACATACACACACATACATACATAAAGTGTACATATACATACACACACATACATACATACATACATACAATGTACATATACATACACACACATACATACATACATACAAAGCGTGTACATATACATACACACATACATACATACATACAAGTACATATACATACACACACATACATACATACATACAAGCGTGTACATATACATACACACACATACATACATACATACAAGCGTGTACATATACATACACACACACATACATACATACAAGCGTGTACATATACATACACACACATACATACATACATACATACAAGCGTGTACATAACATTACACACACATACATACATACATACAAGCGTGTACATATACATACACCCACAACATACATACATACAAGCACATATACATACACACACATACATACATACATACAAGCGTGTAACAATACATACACACACATACATACATACATACAAGCGTGTACATATACATACACACACACACACATATACATACATACAAGCGTGTACATATACATACACACACATACATACATACATACATACAAGCGTGTACATATACATACACACACATACATACATACATATACATACATACATACAACGTGTACATATACATACACACATACATACAATACATATACATACACACACATACAAACGTGTACATATACATACACACACATACATACATACATACAAACGTGTACATATACATACACACACCATACATACATACATACAAACGTGTACAATACATACATACACATACATACATACATACATACATACATATACATACACACATACACATACATACATACAAGCGTACATATACATACACACACATACATACATACATACATACAAGCGTGTACATATACATACACACACATACATACATACATACAAGCGTGTACATATACATACACACACATACATACATACATACATACAAGCGTGTACATATACATACACACACATACATACATACATACATACATACAAGCGTGTACATATACATACACACATACATACATACATACATACACATACATTACATACCATACATACAAGCGTTACATATACATACACACACATACATACATACATACAAGCGTGTACATATACATACACACACATACATACTACATACAAGCGTACATACATACATACATACATACATACAACGTGTACATATACATACACACACATACATACATACATACAGCGTGTACATATACATACACACACATACATACATACATACAAGCGTGTACATATACATACACACACATACATACATACATACAAGCGTGTACATATACATACACACACATACATACATACATACAAGCGTGTACATACATATACACACGTACATATACATACACACACACAACGTGTACAAGCGTGTACATACATATACATACACACACACACACGTGACATACATAACACATACATACACACAAGACGTGTACATACACATACACACACAAACCATACACATACACAACAAACGTGTACATATTACACACAACGACAAACACAAACGTTACATACACATACACATAAACACATACACATACACATACAAACGTGTACATATACATACACATACACATACAAACGTGTATACACATACACATACACATACAAACGTGTACATACACATACAAACGTGACACACAAACATACACATACACAAACGTGTACATACACATACACATACACATACGTGTACACGTGTACACACCATACACATACAAACGTGTACATACACACATACACATACAAACGTGTACATACACATACACATACATACATACAAACGTGTACATACACATATACACATACACATAACAAACGTGTACATACACATACACATACAAACGTGTACATACACATACACATACAAACGTGTACATACACATACACATACAAACGTGTACATACACATACACATACAAACGTGTACACATAACATACAAACGTGTACATACACATACACATACAAACGTGTACATACATACAAACGTGTACATACATACAAACGTGTACATACACATACACATACAAACGTGTACATATACACACAAACGCGCGCGCGCCGTGCGTGTCCACACGCACCACACGCGGCTTAAAAAGAACTGCTAATAGTATGTAATATGTCAAATGATGATGAAAATAAAATACTTCATGGATTATGGTTCAATGACCTGGATAAAAGCAGTCAAGTGCATTTTCCCGTCTTGCCTTGTCTTCGCCTCCCACAGCGGATGGAACTACAATCTAGACGAAAACCTGTCCAGCTTGTAAAAAAAAAAAAAATACATGCAACCAGTAAGTTTACGTCACAAGAGCTCGAGCAGGTAGACAAGGCAGACATTCAATATTTCACATTAATTTGAATCTTCAATGTGAAAAAATAGTGTGTGTACAACCGCGAACACAATTAAGACAAGAGTACATACACCACAAACGCACAAGTACTCAAACTCACACGTAACAGTTGGTACCCCTGCTTACTGTGTCCCCTATCCCCTCCCTTTAGCAACAACAGAGGTTAACAACACCTGTTACTCATTCGAATACTTTCAATATAGGCGAGACTGTAGTACAACTTTAACGACACCTGATGCCTAAAAATAGGTCCAAGCGATAGAACCGTAACATTAACTGGGAAAAATATGAAATTACTTTATCAATGACCATTCTCTTGCCTATTCCTCTCGGTATTCAAGCTACCTAATACAGAAATCGATACTGCAACCCGAGAAAAGCTCAAACGTTCAGTAAAAACGTTTAGGACCAAACGGTTCCTAAGCTTGGAACGTCATTCCCTTATCCTGCCAAACTCGGCCCCTCTCCCTTTTCCCCGCCATCCCCTCCTCTACCCTACTGCTAACTCCATTTTCGTCTTCCGTCTTTTTTTTCCATTTTCTCTTACTAAAGCCACTAAAATATATCTATTTTTGTACCTCTTCTTCGTCGTTAACGTCAGTTTTCCTGATGTCTATGCCTCTATTATTATGTCAATAATTTGCGATAAACCAGTACTCCCCTTTAGAGACAAGAACAAGGCATGGATATTCACAAAATATCCAGAGAAAACAGTTGCAACTATGAATCAAACCAGAGAAGTTAGTCGAGGAAATCCAATATGAATGGAATGACCGCCTGGGAAACATCGTCTGCAACTTTTCTCCAGTGTGGGTTATTTTTCCCCAAGGGAAACCGCGCCCCTTGAGGAAAAATACTGCATTCAGTGGAACCTATATATATTGAACATCAAATATTTAAAGCATACGTATGAGCATAAGAGCCGTTTTGTAAATATTAACAAAGCTTATTCACTCAATTCAATAAGTTGAAAGTTCGTAGATCTTTACAATCCCAATGCCACTGTAGTTAAGGTGATATGTATCCCGGTTAATGGACAATCATCCACACGCAAACAGACTGCATAGTAATCAATCACATGAATGCAAGATTAACTTGGGAGTAAACAGACATAAAAGGGTTACATTACGTGTTAGATTGTATAAAAATATGCTGCAGTATGGAATAAATGCAATAAGGAAATTTCATTTAGTGGTTATTTATAAGCAGTTTTGGTCAACTAGCAAACCTTACTTAACCTCATACTATAAATAACTGAAATGGCAACTCGCGCCGGTGGATGAAAATATATTAATGCCTCAATGTCTTCCCAATCTGACATAAAATATCGCCCTAGCCCCATTCCCTTTGCAATAATTATCGATTTCCTTGCTGGCCGCGATGCCACCGTCCGTTGCCCGAATAAACCTCCGTAGTCTAGTCGCTACTACACAGACCCGTCGGTTCTGTCTCTTATGCACTCATTTCCTCACTTAAATCAATGTCAGTTCCAACTGAAAACTACAGAGAACGGAAGGGAGAAATAAACTCTCGGCACTTACCGTCGAGCTGTAAAAGAAAATTTCAAAAGGAGATGGTAAAAGAGGAATTCCCGATGAGACCCAGCGTCGCCTCCTCCAGCCCGGCCGCAAGCTGGAGATTCTCGTCCAAGTCCGTCTTGCGCACACAAGCCAGCGCCGGCGGTGCATCTTTCGATTGTCACTTTTAAATGCATCCCCTTTAGAAACGTTACTTTATCACAATAGTGGTGACAAAATATCGCTAATTATTAACCAAGAGTTAATTTTTATACCAAAAATGTCTTGAGTGTTGAAAGAATAACATCTATAAATAAGGCGGTGTAGCCATGGGAGGCGTTCGGGAAAGGTGCACTGCCCAAGCAGTACGAAGTGGGCAGCGGCGAAGAACTTCTCCTGTCTGAGCTTGGGGACGGGTCGCGTCAGACTTACGCCACTAACGCTAAAACAACTAAATCTCCACCATGACTTCCACGCTTGTCAATGTGGCCAAGGCTGCCCTGGCGTCGGTGCCCAAACAAGCCAAAGTTGCAGTTCCCACTGTCCTCAGCCAGCGATCCTGTAAGTGTAATTTTATACAATATATATTTTTTTCTCCCTTTCGAACTGTATCTTACGGCTACAGCGAGTAGTTGTCCATTAGGGTAGTTGCAAATAGAGGAGTATCGAAATGTGGCACGGATGTTGAGATCGAACATTTATTAATATTGATATGAGTGTGTAAGTGCATGTTAGCTCTTTATGCACTTGGGACTAGTCATTCATCATGTATGATGTTCGTAAAGGAGTTTCTTGCATGTCACTCATGTTAATGATTAGTAAAGGGTGTTTCTTGTAGTTTAAACAACTCTTGTGCATATACTACGATAATGTTACCATATATTTAATTGTAGTTGTTAAATGTACTCGACTCGAACACCACTTAGAATACTGTCACTTTAAACATATTAAGCCTGTTGTTACATGGTTACAGCAAGTACTAAACACCTTTTAAAAGTTGTGAAATGGATTTGTTCAGATTCTTTCAAAGCATGAAATAAATATCATAAATGAAACCTGACGGGCATATCTGTGACCAAAATGAATCCCAATCTTTATCAGCGAGCTCATATCAGTATGAATGGGTTTCCCGCATTTGTGTCTTTAGGGTAATGAGAGCCGTATAAAAAAAATGTCATGCACAGTGCATTCGTGAAGTTCTACAGTGGCTGCTCTTAAATGTCTGGGTGTGAGCATAATTGGATATTTCCAGTGCACTACAGCATGACCAGCTTCTTTCATTTAAAAAAATCGTTGTAGCTAAATCCATAATGTCAAGTCCAAGTGTTTCTATTAGGTGTGGAGATTTTAGCAGTCTTTCATTCGGAAAGTCAAGCGCCGAGTGCATACGTGACTGGGGGAGATGTGTGTGCGTACGTTTGTTGCTTTGCACGAGCCCGCCCCTGCGTCTCCCCACCCCTCTTTTCTCTACTCTGCTCTTCTCGCCTCTTCCTCTCCTCTGGCCACACTCCCTCCCCCCTCCCCCCCTCCCCCCCCTCCCTCTCTCTCTCTCTCTCTCTCTCTCTCTCTCTCTCTCTCTCTCTCTCTCTCTCTCTCTCTCTCTCTCTCTCTCTCTCTCTCTCTCCTCCATTACTATTACTACTATACTACTATTACCATGACTACCACTTCTCATACCCCATTAGTCAGATTTGTCTTGTAATCTTTTCCGGTTTGATTCAGATTTCATGAGCTCGTTTCTCCATTTTTGGCCTATTGTATTTTTTCTTAGCTCGACATATTGGTCATTGATTTGTACGATCAAGTGCCCCGTCCGTGTGATACCGGCGTTGTTTCGCTGGCATGGACTTGCCCCGAGGAAGGAGCCGGTCTCTGAAACTTCACCCCCCCCCCACCCTACCCCTTGTTGCTTACGGCAGGGATCGGTCTTTGGTCTCGTTCTCTTGGGATATCTCGCTTTTCCAAGAAACTATCTCCATGGAAGGCGAAACGAGAGCAGACGCACGTAGGTCGTTTGCCTCGTCTCGCCTTCGGAATAGATTCACAGATGTGAAAGACAATGGGAAGTGGCGTGGGGTGTTACCGAGGGGGGGGGTAGATGAGAGTGTGTGGGAGGGGAAGGAGGGGGGAATAGACGCCATGCGGGGTCCAGTGAGCGAAAACAACACTGTTGCACGGGGCTCTTGTTTGGCATCAGGTGTGGGCATTTGAGAGATAAAAATAATCCATTATTACATGCATAAATCATAGAATTTGATGGCATAGGGCAGGCGATTTGAAATTAGGCTTGATGTCGGAAATCAGCCTAATCTTGTTCTAAACAGGCACTTTAGAAAGGAGAACGTGTGCATGTTGTAATCTATTGGGCTAAAGCTTGCACCTTTTGCAACACATGACAGTGCATCATATGTTTGCTTTTATCCCGCCGGTTGATGGGATTAAACGCATTTATTTTTTTCTTAACAAATGATCTTGTGGGTATTAATTGAATTGCGCAGTTTTCTTATTTGCTTTTTTCCTTCTACATGTTGCCCTAAATAGACTTTAAAATGTTGCACTTGAACACGTACTTAGGGTACTTTCCTACTCGCATCAGTTGGTATGCCTGATGTGGGATGGAAGCCGGTACCCCGTCTCGTATGTTTACTGCTGGGTAATGTTGGTAGATAAAGATAATGGTGCTAGAAGTTTGTAAGAGTTAAGATTAAGAGTTCGAAAGTACGCATGTTTTAAGCGTTGTATGACGTAAACAGTACATAGATTTGACCAAAATATTTATAAGTAAGCCAGATTTATGGTCGTAGTCTTTTAATTTTAACACGTTTAGTCCTACATCTATTTCTTATAGCATCTTCAATTTCCCTCCCTAATCCATATGTCAGTTAATAAGTTCATAGAATATTATGCGTGGAAACAAGCACGTTAGCTTGTATGGCAGCTGTTGCTATGTAGGGCAGGCGGGCTGACCTTGAGGGAAGCGGGAAAATGTTAAAATCCCCGGTTGATAGGCCTATATGCGCGTTCCTCTGCGAAATGGCATAGGCTTATTTATATACTGCGGTAACTCTTTATCAATTTTATTAATTTGCACAATTATGCAAATTACTAAGAAGACTTGTACAGTTTATATATGCTTTTTAACAGGATAATACGGGAAACACTAGCGGTAACTTGACCGGATAGAGGATGGAGAAAGGGCATAGACGAAGAGGGGGTGGGAGGGACTAACCGCTTGCCCACTTCTTCACGGGCTTGAAGAATTTGGTAATTGATTTGTGATTTTTAAGATTTTTTAGAAGTTTTGTATCGCTTCTCTTATCACTACTGCTAGGTTCATCTTGCTGGCCGAAATAGGGCAAAGTGAAGATTTTTAAAATTATAGCTGATTCTATTAAAAGCTGGCTTTTGGTCGTTTCATTGTGTAATGGTGGTGGTGGGGGTTAATTGTTAGTATGAGTAATTCATACGTGTAACATCAGGGTTTATTTACGTACCTGTGTGATCCGGTACGACCCCGAAAATTGTGAAAAAGAATAGGGAGCTCCACCCGCGGCGATAGTAGTACGTACTGTAACATCATTTTATCCCGTGTTCACGCGTTACCTGTAAGAAAAAATCCTTTTATCATGTGTACTTAGATGACCTCGTTAAAATGTGACGGTAAGAGATAGGAGCTGATAGTAGTACTTCCTCGAGAGGTCACACAAGCTCTCGAACCGATATTAACTGGAAATTACCAGCGGGCGCTCCATTCATAAAATCATCCCACCTCCCGTTTTTTCTTTAATTCAGAAGCACGATTTTTTTTTACAATATTTTGATGCGCGTTTTTGTGAGTTTGTGTTTAATGTTTATACATTTTCTTTTATCCTCTTGCTCTTATCTGAGTCCAATATGGTATCGAACTGGGGAAGACCTGGTTTAGAGACTCGATTTACAGCACGCTTTATCTGCACGGCAAATGTTAACATGTAAAAGTCATAAGTTTATAATAGAAGCGTCGTTAATTCTAGCCTCTGGCGATATTTTTTCACCTGGTATGCTATCCAGAATACGCGTCTTGACTGGAATTTCGCAGCTAATTACAGCAAAATACCGCTTGTTAGAAACCGGTTATGAAAGTATGGGGAAAGGGTTGTTTGAGTCGGTGAGGTGTAAGTGTTGGCTTTTGGCACCTGGCATTGGCATCTGCTTTTGCTTCTGACAGTTGCTTTCGCCCTCGAAATATCGTGCTCTTGTGGGCATGCCAGCTGCTTCCATACCACTATGGTAGCATGGGTATACGTGCACCTGCAGTTAACAATGACTCTTGAAAAAGTTCGTTTAAATGTCTAAAAGTTGCATGGATTTGCCTCCACACTAGCGAAAGATTTGCATGTCATTCCTATTTGTCGCGCAGGTTAGTTTCTATATAAATACTTGTACGACTTGGAAGCGTTCAAATAGGTAAAATGCTTTCCTTTGCAGATGTCAGTCGCTATGATTATTTGGCAAGTTTCGTTGGCACTGGTGAACATATCACTCTAAATATACACTCCTTGTACTTCCTTAAATATGGCTACAAAACTGCTGCCACGACCCGCACTTTTTTTACGGAAACACGTGGTTGCTGTATGTAAACAAAGAGCGGTAGTACTCCCACAGGAAAAGGGCGGTAACTTTTTTCCATATAAAAACAAAACTCATGGATTCTGTTATAGTTTATTATTATTGCAAGAATTGCCGTGTATTTTATTTACCATCACTTATGTCCTTGGCATTTTTAGTATTCTGGGAAGTTTGTGCGCTATTCTGGGCGGGGATGAAATATTAAGCGCAGCAGGATTTCTCCCCGACAAGGACGATGCGTATTGATTTAGTTTCCGAAGCTTCCTTGCTATTTTTAGACATCGACATTGCATGCAAGATTATCGATGAAGAAAAAAATTGAAGTCAGTGTGTCTGTCTAGGGCGTCCTGTTGTTATTAGGTCCACTATCCTCACACAAGAACGTACCCATTTGGCGAGCAAGTAGACGGACCTACCCCTTTAATGCAGCCAGCGGCGGATGTTGTTGCCATTGGACTGTGGAGTTCGTTGTGTTTTGGCGAGGGAGAAAATGCGGGTCTTGATTGAAATTTGGTAATCCTTGGCGTTGGTGGGATTTATGTATGGCCTTTTTGATCACCGGTTTAAAGTTTAGTGGTGTTGAGGTCATTCTTGCAAGACCAGTGTGTTCCGGGAGTATAATTAAAGTTTAAAGTTGCGCATGTTGAATTATGTTAGTAAGCATATAAGATGCTTGTTAGAAGCCGCAGTAGTTGATCTGTACTTGCCAAATTAACTTGTCTGGAAAAAACTGGTCAGGAGTCATGAGATTTCAATTTACACAGAAGGGGTATA